TTCATTCTAGCGCTGCGGAAAAAGTATCAAGGTAATTTATTAGTTACCTATGGTAATGAATCTTAGTAACTTTTATTTTGACAGTGTCTCAATATTCACTCTTTGGAGTACACATTGAATATTTATGTATGTTTGTTTCATTTTCTTTATTTTATCATAGCACATTCTATTGACTAAAACTGATTTAAGCATCGTATTATAGATTTACAACCATGACAATAAACAAAACACGTTGGAATAGCGCTGTTCAACGCTTAAATTAAAGCTGGATCGTTCACCGGCTGCAAGGTGTGCATCTCTGTAAAGTAAACTGGAAATATCATCCAGTTTACTTCGTGCTCTTCGAATACAATCAAAGAGCACGAAGCTGAGAGCAAATTTTAAAAAAAATCAGCTAAAGGTGTTTATTTACAGTATATTTATAGTGTTTATGGATAATGACTAAATTGGAGCAAATCCATAACAACAATAGAAATTATTTTATTTGATATAATAGGATGAGCTTCTTAAGAACGAGAATAACAAATATACTTTACTTTTTTCTCTCTACCTTAAATGCATTACATATAATTTTTTCGGCAGTATTCATCTATAGTACTTTAAACCACCTTTTCTTCAGACCAGTTTTCTAGACGATGAATACGAAAACTTTGTATCCTTCCGGAGTGTGTGCCAGCCTCAGTTGCAGACTGGTCCATCTTAAAGGTTTCTGTCCTTATCTCAGATTTCATCTTCGAGACCGCATTTTTCCAATTAGCCTTTTCAGCGTAACTATGCTTTTGTTAATTCTGTGATATTTAACTAAAAGTTCAAGTAACTTATCATTAACAAATCACTTGTTCAAATAATTACGAATCGCCCTTTGAGCGCGAACGGTTTCAAAAGAGCAGCACTGCAACTTGGTATACCGAATTCTAAGCAAAAAGCTGTAAATTGAACCCCTGTGACTGAAAGAGAAATCTCGCCGCATTAATCATGCCAGAATGCAGTCTCGGAATTTTATACTTTACTAAAAAATACATATGGTCATGGCCTGTATTTTTCGGGAATATCGAAATACGATAGTTAAATACAAGCAATTTCCTTCGCATCTCAGGGAAAAAAAAGATTTTCCGTGTGACCGCAATGTTTTAGTTTTCTCGGAAAAAAAACGCTTTGCAGTTTACATTTTTTCCGGCAGCGATTGAGTAAATTATTTTAACTTTTTTCACTCTTAGGCTTTGAGAACACCTCTTTTTTTACCTCGTATCTTTTTAACTCAATAAAGTGAATTTCAAGTGAGCCAATTACCATCTCTTCACTATATGTGCATTTTTCCTCTGTGTGATATGCCTTCAGGATTATGAAAGTAGATCTTCATTGCCTGTGTCTTCATGCGTGTTCTTCGTCTTGCAAATAGATATCTAGCGCTAGATATATATTCAGCTTGGTTTTTTGTGGGCCAGTGGTCTCCGTAAAATCAATAGATTAGTGCGATGATTTATCACTCTTACTCATAATCACTTATTTCCTTCTTTTTTTTTTTTTTTTTTTTTTTTTTTTTTTATCAGCAAGTTTCATATATTGGCGATGTAACATAATTTACAGCGACGTTGAAAATGGCGTTTTATACGACAACGGCGAACGGCAAATGAATAAGTAAATGCTGCTCAAAAATAGCAAGAGCGATTGTGTTTAAGCTTATATAAATATTTTATATATCCAAAAATACGTGCTAGGATATCCAAACACCTGTGTTTGGAAATCAGTTAGCAAAGGAATGCGACACTTGAACAAATGCTCGTT